AATTGGTCTTGATTTCGATGAAACTATTCTCCTTTACAATTTTTTCAGTTCTTATTCATTCTCTTCATGCACTCGTACACACACAATCACTCCCATTAACTGATCTGATTCTCTGCAGTGTCACAACATTGTGCACTTTTGGGATCAAAGGATTTCTGATTGCAGAAAGCATACATTGAAATTTGGTTCTCGAGAAAGTTGGAAGAATTTTCATTTCAGGAACCCAATGAAGCACCGGTGTTACGAAATGTTACTTCATTCTAATAATGCCGCTGGGTGTTCATTGGAGAGATCCTTTTCGCTTCCACTCCATCAGACAATGGATCTTTAGGTATATTTTTTCCGTNTCATTCGATGAGAACTGTCAACTAATGATAAACATGAAAACATTCAATTCGTTTATTCTGGTTTAATTTCATCAGTGTTGTTAATTTTCAACGACCACCTTAATGGCCCTATGTCCATGGCCTAGAATTTTCTTCAGAACCGGAGTGATCGTACAGCTCGTAAAACCTTACTGGAATACATGTGTTTGAAAATCACTATTATAAAATGTGTGAAAATGCTTGATAATCGGTAGCTGAATTCATTCGAGTCTTTGATTTAGCCTTTTCACATAAGAAATATCAAACGAATTAAAGTGAGATGTTTGAACTAATATGACTAACGAAATTCGTGTGTGTTGTGAGCGATAATGGAATCGAGAGACTGAAAATTTGTACACCACTTTCGGAAAACAAGTTGAATGATAGCATGAATTCAAACAATCGTGCCCGGTCAATTGATGCGAGCAGATCACATGAATGTTAAATCAGCTGTACAAACAGAGCATGATCTCTAAGTGATAGACATCTTCCATAATGCCGCAATTCATTCCCAACGCAATAACTACTTCACTAGTTAACAAACAGTTCAGTACGGTTTCATGCCTTGGTGAAGTTGCATTATTCGCATTACGAATACAAATTTCATCGAGACCTCATATCTGAATTCATTATCGACTCTTCGACGGTTCGCATGAGACCACGATCACTTACTGTCGTTTTCACTTATTTTTACCTTATTGGTAAGTCAACTTCATACAATNCGAAAGCTTTTTTGAATCGACAATGCTTCAAAGACAACGGATGATTGTACTTTTCATAAGTTGTTAATGAAGTTGTGATTTTAAAATATTTGGTGCTAGTTTGTGAAATATGACTGATAATGTGAAATGAACGGATTATTTATTGAGATCAATCATTTCAACTGAACATATGAGCAATTCATCGAAAATATAAGTTCACTTGCAAAATCTTCCTGCAAATGTCTTATTGCCACCATACTGAACATCACCAACTGCTCACTAAAATTCCATCAAATACTCCATTTGCCATAGAATTTTTCCCGTTCACTCTGAAGAGATCCAGAAAAAATGTTGAAATCGCAATGGTCGCTCAATTGACTGGATTTCGTAGGCATTCAGAATAAGAATAGAACCGATGCCTGAGCCGGAATAAATTGTGTCAGAATAGAATGATTCGGGTGCTAATTCAAAATCACGTAGAAATGATTGTTATTGTTCCCTAGTTCAAATGATCGTCATCAACTCATTCGAAATGATAAATGAGCCATCATTCGGTGCTAAATCAAAAACCTCCAACTTTTACACCACGAGTTCCCTGCCATTTTCTCGCCTTCAATATTAATTGTAGTTGCAAGATATAAGACGTGATTCAAGAAAAAACACGAACTGAAAAGAATCCATTTGATTTCCATAAAAACAGCACCGCGAATTTTTTGTCATTGATCTCACTCTATNCTGCAAGAGGTCATCAACCAGGTCAGTTAGATGGACTATGCGAAATCGGTTCGTCAAAACGACAGTGCTTAACATCAAATTCACTGTGTGTTCGTGGCGTATGCCAGTGTGCACCACTGTACTATGCCACTCAGAACGAATGTCGATTACGAAATAAAAGTACTCATTTACAAAGCCACTTAACTCGCTCATTTGTGCGTGATTAATCAGACACTGAAAATTCATATAAAATATGCTTATGACAGGCTGTGAGAAGTGCATTAAGAAGAAGTCAAGTTTGGATTAAACGTAAAGTATTTTAGATGTCACTTTCAACAGAAAATGTGTTGCTTCATCTGAGTGTGCAGATCCAGGTGAATACTGCAGTGAGCAACGGAAATGCACTTGCCTTTCGACGTTCGTTCGTTTGAAGGATGAGTGTAAACCAGGTATTTGATATTCACTTCAGCTATTTACATCTCATCAGTCTTAATCAGAGTTTCCAAACAATAAGTGCAAATTCCGAGTAAAAATTCGAAATTACTTCCCGAATCGTGCAGTTATGATTGCGAAACATATTACAATTTGGACAGTAGTATTCCGCGAATCTAAACGCAACATTTCATCACTTATCTAACTCGTAAGTGAGAAATCAACGCATGCTTAAGCCAGTCATATTTAAAGTGGTGAGTATTTTGTTTAGTCGTACAAGACTGTGAGGCGAACATTGCGTCAAATTCAACAGTAACTACGATTTTGTTCCTTTCAAATATTCTTCAGTGTT